CATATTACTGGAGAAAGATGATTTAATACTATCACAAGATAACAACTTAAGTCCTGTCTCTTTTCTGACTTCAGGGGGCAGAGATGCATCTGAATCAGAGCATTACTGTATTGACTTCATTGACCTTCAAACTCAGGTTCAGGAGGATTTACAAGAATCCCCAATTCCCAGAGGAATCAGTTTGTTTACTGATGGTTCCTCTAGGGTGGTGGAAGGGAAAAGAAGGAACGGCTATGCTGTCATTAATGGGGATCAAGAATCCTTGGCTGAGGTGGAAAGTTTACCGAAAAACTGGTCTGCCCAAACATGTGAACTATATGCCTTAAATCCGGCATTAAAATTATTAAAAGGGAAAGAGGGCAATGTTTACACTGATTCAAAGTATGCCTGGGGAGTAGTACATATTTTTGAGAGAATCTGGGAGGAAAGGGGGCAAGGTTATCTGCCCTGAGAAGAGAACTTGTTAGGATTATGCAGTTCCTAGACAATGAATTTAATTTGCCGAGAAGTTGCAAGTTTATGTTCAGTAGATAGAAATGATTTTTGATGATTGGCTTTTACACCAGAGCAAGTTTAAATTTGAGAAGGAAAGATGTTAAGTGAGATTTCCTATGTATGTGAGTCCTGGTAAATCCTTATTGCTTATTGCAACTCCATGAGAGTAAAAGTAACTATATCTGGCTTTAAGCTATGATTAGTGAGACTTGCTGTTTGAGGAAAAAGGTTTTTGGGACTACAGCTAATTTTGTTTTGAGTTTGAATTTGGGTATAATTGTCTGCATTAAATCAGTATATGAGAGAAATGCCACAAGAACAGGTGGAGGCCTATTTAGAGGAAATGTGATTTATTTGGGAAAAAGCCAAGGGGACAATCTTAGCCTCAATCTAGGATGGGATCCTCCTGGCTCAGTTTCCCCATTGTGTTCCTTTGGAAAGGAATGTTTCCCACCTGACTATTTCTGAGTCTGGCTATGAGATGGAACAGATACTGCATGACTGGAGAACTGCGACTCCATCTGAATTTAAACAAAGCTAAGGATGTTTTATCCTGTCATACGTGATACGTCACATGTCCCTGCTCTTTTTCCTTCTACAGTAAGTTTCTATAATCAGAAGATTTAACAAATTTACTAAAATAATTGATTATGGAACATCTCAGGTTATTATAGAACTGGGACTAGTGTTCCTGTATGAGTTAGGGTCTTTTAATTCTTGGTAATGGCATGGAGATAATCAGGGGCTTGTGAGAATGTTATTTTGTTATTTGGATAATATCATGCTCGTCTAAAGTTTTGTCACCATTGATTAATAATGTTAAAAGAAGAATGGCTTGTGATTTATTTTGTAAATGGCATCAAAGAAACAAGGCATGACTAAAATTTTAAGATTTTATATGTACTGTGTTGAAAATTGATATGTACGTACTGAAGCCTGTGACTAATTCCATAGTGAAGTCTCATCCCCCTGGTGAGGAAATTAATAATGGATTAATGTAAAAATAGAAGACACTGGGTTCTGATGTGAATTTCTTAAAGATGACAATTGGCTATGGTTCCAATTTTGAGTCTGTGAAATGATCAGGGTTATAAAGATTAGAAATAGTAATTTAAAATTGTGCTAAGGTCCCTTTTATAGGAGAATGGACAGAAAGCTGGTTCCTACAAGAAGACAAGAAGATGCTGAGATGCTGTGCTGGAGATGGCTGGAGCAAATACCAAGGACAAGAGGACTTCACTGATGGTGTTCCCTGCCAGACAGCTGTACAAGAAAAGACTTCTAATTCTTAAAGGGACAATTACACAATTGTTTTCTTTTGGGTCTCTCTATCTACATTTATGAAGAGGCTGCCCCTTTGATTTGTCAATACTTAGATTAATCCTTCCCATATATACTTAAAGGAGTGGTCCTGGTTTGGGGGAACTTGGTGGAAGCAGGTTTTATGGTCCTTATTGATAGCAGTGAGTGGAGTCATACTACTCCTAGTGTGTGTCCCTTGCATGACTACTGTACAAAGGACACTCTCTAGGATGATTATATTAAGAAAGCCTGCTAGTGAGTCCAAAAGATTAATGATATTGGGGAATCAAGGGTGGATGCCAGTTAGTCAGGAAGAAGAGGGCCAGATCCTGATGGAATAGCAAATAGGGAGGCTGAAGAAACCTACCAGTTTTGGTGTGAGAAACTTTCAACTATGAAATGAGAGGGGGGACTGTGTGGGACAAGTGAAAGTTTCTCATATGAAATGGAAGCTATGCTCCAAAAATGTAGTAAGGCTTCAGCATGAGCTGGGCCCAAGTTTCACTTTCTTGTAAGTCTTGTGTTTTTGGGGAATGGGGCCATACACCAGCTGCCCACCCCCCTCCCTTGTTTTGTAACCACCCCCCTCTTGTTTTGTACCTTATCTTTGTCAAATAAGGCAATCCTCTAGCTCCCAAGTTTGCTTTGGGTAAAATGTATCTCTTGGATTCTAAATATAGACTGTAAGGGTAACAGGAGATTAAAATTTTGAATTCAACAATATGTTGCTTTTAGAAAACACTATAAAAATGAGATAAAATAAAGGACAAGAGTAGAACTTATTAGGTAAAAAAAGCAAGGGTGGTAATCATGATCTCAGACAAAGTTAAAGTTAAAAGAGATTTGATCAAAAGAAAAAAAAGAGAAACTATACTACATGTCAGCAATATTACTCAATATTGTTTTAGACCATTTAAAATAATTAGACAGTATAAAATACCTGAGCATATACCTGCCAAAACAGACCCCGGAATTATATGAACATAAACATAAAACACTTCATACAAATAAAATCAGATCTAAATAAATGAAGTAACTAACATTTATTGTTCATGGGTAGGTAAAGTCAATATAATTTAAAAAATAACAATTTTACCTAACTAATGTATTTACTCAATGTCATCCCAATTAAATTACTAAAAAATGATCTGAGTTAGAAAAAAATAATAACAAAGTTCATTTGGAAGAATAAAGGGTCAGGAACTTCAAATAAATCAGGGAAAAAAGATATAAAGGAAGCAGATTCAGCAGTATCAGATCTTAAACTATATTAGAAGGTAAGAGCATTGTGGAAATGTAAAATGGATAATTTCAATTATTCTAAGTTAAAATTTTCTTGTATAAATAAAACCTATGGAGCTAAGAATAGAAGGCATGCAGAAAATTGGGAAAAAACTTTCACAGACAACTCTCAGATAGGTAGTACTGGGTTGGAATACTGTCATGGAAATGAATACCTGGTTGATTTAGAAAACCATGGAAAGACTTGGACTGATGAAGGAAGATGCTATCCACCTTCAGAGAAACAGATGACAAGTAGAAAGAAATAAGCATAGTATAGTCTTGCATATGTGTAGGAGTGCATATGTATATATATATGTGTATGTTTATAGATATCTCTACCTATCTATCTATCTATCTATCTAATGCGGCGTCACTGGTAGCTGAAAAGGGCGGAGAGTGCCGAAGTGAAGCAGTGGGAGGGGTTCATGTTGATGGCGGGAAGAGCCTCAAAGTGAACTATAAAGGAGGAAGTTGAGGCACGGCAGTGCTATTTTGGGACTGGCTGTGTGAAACTATTATCACCGTTTTACCAGGAACAGAGGTGGAGGCAGTAGGGGAGCCTGAATGATCAGCTTTTTTGGATTCTACAAATTATGGAAGAAGCTCAGAAAACATCTGAAAGAATCCTTTTAGAACCCTACAGGTACTTAACTTCAATTACCAGGTAAACAAATGAGAACCAAACTTTCACAGGTGTTTAATCACTGGCTAAAAGTTCCTGAAGATAAGACACAGATTATCACTGAAGTTACAGAGATGTTACATAATGCCAGTTTGCTTACTGATGACATCGAAGACAACTCAAAACTACGACGTGGCTTTCCTGTTGCTCATAGCATATATGGAATTCCATCTGTAATAAATTCTTCCAGTTATGTTCCAATCTCAGGCCTCTGTCTGCCCAAAGTGGGAGACGGGGAGGAGGCAGTGGAAGAAGAAGGAAATGTACAAATGAATGTTTATTTCTGGTCAAAGATCTAAAGAAAGATCTCATATGTATGAAAATGTTTATGGCAGTATTTTTTGTAATATTAAGGAATTAGAAACAAAAAAGATGTGTGTTAACTGGGGAATGGCTAAACAAATTTGTAGTTCATGAATGTAATGGAATATGGCTAGTCCATAAAAAATAATGAATATGAAGACTACAGAGAAGCAGAGAAAGATTTAAATTACTTGATGCAAAGCGAAGTAAGGAGAACTAGGAAAACAATATATACAATAACAAGACAAAAAATGCCCTTGAAATTGAATAACGTGTAATTCTAATGATCAAGGTTAGCCCCCCAAAAAACAACGAGAAAATGATGGCTTCTGAGGTCCCTTCTATGATTCTATGACTTCTCTCTTTCCTTTCCTTGCTGAACTGGGAGACTGTCAGTGTAGAGCACTGCACACATACTGTCAGACATAGTTGATCAGTGGGTTGGTTTTGATGAATGGCTTTTCCTTCTTTTTTCATTTGTTGCATGGGATTGTTGTCCTTGGGGGGAAGGGTTATACTCCCTCAACATCAAAGATGGCAACAAATTTTAAAAATTAAACTAAATTAAAACTTGTTTCAGAGATCATAGTTAGCTGCACTCCAAACGGTCTGCTGTAAGTCTAAGCTCCCAAGTAAAAGTATTTTTGACCCCTCATAAATGGTTGCCCTTCCTAGCAAGCACAACTCTTATGAACACAATTAGAACGCTTTAGAAAAATAATTCTTTAAACCTAATTCCTCAAAGAACTTGTATCATTACCAATATAAAACTTTTAAAAATAAAATTTCTGAACAGAAAATATGGCAAGTTTTTTTGTTTTACTACAATTTGTTTGGCATTTAATCTCCAGGATACTTCTTGGAAGTATTAATATTAATAAAATTAATTATTAATATTTATATTAATTACTATTAATAAAATGAAAGTTCTTACCGGAGGAGACTTTTTCATTTTGCTTTTCATAAAGAGTACCCACAGACATCAGAAAAACTATAACCAGGAACACTGGAATCTTCCAGGAGCCAGCCAGAGACGCTGAAAACAAATGGTAAACAAGTCTAAGCCCTCTAAAACAATGTAATGACTTGAATGCACAGTTATTATATGTGTGTGTGTATATAATTAAAACATTTAAAACTCTACAATGTAGACTAGGTTTTAGAGGGAAAAAAAGTAAACAGTGTACTTCTGTGTGAAATACTCTGATCCAGCTCTGGAAATGCAGATCCAATCCACAGCTTTCCCAAGATGCTGGTCTTGACTCTAGGAGGCTCTGACTGAGCAAACCCAGAAGAGGCTACCCCCTAGTACATTTTAAAGGATTCTAATCCTTCAGTGATAAAAAGCCTTTCTATATCTGGGCCAAAATGCTAAACATCTGTGTCATAGCTTCTATTTGTCCCTTCAAATATGGTGCCTGGCTGGATCTCCTAGGACTTCAGATGAGCTCACAATATTCAGAATTCCCAGAAAAGGGTGAGGTCTTAGATAATAAACTAGAACATTCCTCTCTTTAATGTATAAAGTTTAGATACTAAGGAGTTGCCAGGGTACAGATCTGTTTCTTCTCCTCAATCTCCCAAATTCAACATGGCCAAATAAAAAAACAAAGGGCTACTGGAATAAATTCTCCAAGAAATAAGCAAGAACATGGAAGTAATATTTTGAGGATTATGGGGTGAGAGCAGGAAAGGTAATCTTGAACACTATTAAAAAACACTGACCAAAGGTATCTTACAGAAAAACAGAAAAAATGACATGGTAAAGCAATATATTTTTCTAAAAAGTATTTTAAATGTTGTGCTGTTTTAGGTTATATGACTTTTTCAATTGTAAAAAACAAAATTCTAAAAGCAAACGTCTAACAAAATGAAAAGATGAAAAACTGAAGATGTAGCATTTAGTCTGAAGTTAAAGTTTCTAAAAATCTAGTAGGATTTTTAATAAACCTAAATTTTTAAATAAATCTAAAAATAACGACTTTACATGACACACCTCTTGGTATCAAAAACAAGTGACCCACCTAAATGGAAAAGTAATATAATCCAGACAGGAATTGAAACTGCTCTCAAGTAGCGTTCAGTACTTGGATTCCACTTGAATAAAACAGCCAACACATAGCCAACTACCAACGTCCAGATCTTTAGGAATAAATGAACAGAAAATATAAGGTTGAAAAAACATGGATATGTAAATAAACACAAACATACCTACATTATATAAAACTTCCATGTATCTGTATTTTAAAACTGCTATTGTAGTAGTTCTCTACTATACATACTAGGTGTTAAGATGAAGAAAGTAGGTCTAGGAAAGTTCTTACAACTTCTGTTATTTTAAAAAAAAAAAATCATCCTTTTGGTTGAAAATTGTCAGATATTCAAAAATAAAATTTTTTGGTGTAAAAAACCCTTAGGGTTTTTTTTAACCTTAGTTTTAATTTAAAACCTGTTAATACTAGAAGAAAATTCATGAGTAGCAAATACTAAGTTCTAATTAGGTATTATTAGAAACACTATCTGTAACAGGACATGTTACACATAAGAAGTCTACTATGGGCTTCCAAGGTTTCTCTACAGATTTATCAATCAAGAAGACCATTCTGTCTTGTGAAACAGTGATCATGAAATCTAGGAGATCTCATTAAAACATAAAATGAGACTGTATGTATGTTTGCACTGCAAACTTGAAGGCACTATAAAATATAAGTGATTATTACAAAAGAGATATTTACAGAAAGTGAAGAAGGCACATATCAGAACCTTGGGGTACACCCACAGCAAGCAGGTAGGATATGGATGATGGTAAAGCAAAGGTGACTGAAGAGTGGTAAGACAAGGAGTAGTATTCTCACCATTATTCAGAAAGGAAAGAGTAGTCAGTAGTATCTAATATCGCAGGAAGGTCAAAAAAGATGACAACTGAGAAGAGGCCAGTGGATTTTCACAATTAAGAGACAACTAGTAATTTTGGGAGGTACAGTTTCACTTGAGTGACTTGAGGCCAGAAGCCACACGGCAAAACAATGATAACTTAGTGAAAGTAAAGAAGGGGAGGTAATAAGAGTAGATGGTTTTTTCCTATAAATTTGGTTACAAAAAGGAGATAACATACAGGCCACTAACTTGCAGGAATACTAGGGTTAAGTGAAGATCTTTTTGGGATGGAGGGGACCTACACTTATTCATAGATTGCAGGGAATTAATCAGTAGGTAGGGAGAGATCAAGGGGAGGGGAGAAGGACTTTTGTAGGGGGAGCAATCTGCCAGACAAAATGGAAGTGAATGAAAATGGCATCAAGGCTACCTGTAGAGGGTCTGGCATGGCTATACTATCCTGGCTCACTACTGTTGGAAGCTATGGATTGATGCTCCATAAGGAAAATACATTTTTAAAAAATCACAAAAAGCTACATTTTAGTTGAGTTAAATGATTACAATTGCTGTAGAAAAACTATGATTCTTGTGAAAATAGTAGGTGACAGACAAAACATGGAACCATATTTTAAATCAGCCCAAAAAATACATTTGACCTATTTTTATGGATGTAATTAACAAGAGGCTTTCTGTGCTGTCCAGTGTAATAATTACTCATCCATCCTCTGAACTAGCAGTCCTCAAACTTTTGGTTTCAGGACCCCTCTGCACTCTTAAAAATCACTGACAGCCCCAAACAGCTTATGTTTATGTGGGTTACAGCTATCACTATTTATCATTATTAGAAATTAAGATTAATAAAATATTAAAACAATTATCTATTTCATTAAAATACAATAATAAACCCATTACATGTTAACATAAATACATGCTTATAAAAATTACATTTTCAAAAATAAAAACATTTAGTGAGAACAGTACGGTTTTATGTATTTTTGCAAATCTCTTTAACATATGGCTAAATAGAAGACAACTGGATTCATGTATATGCTATTGCATTTAATCTGTTGTAATATGTCGAGTTGGCTGAAGCATATGAAAAAAAATCTGGTCTCATAGGTAAGAAGTTGGAAAAGGAAGGAATATTTTTAATAAGCAAATAATGTTTTAGTATTATTAAGAAAATAGTTTTGACCTCTCAGACCCCCTGAAAGGGTCCTGGGGACTCTCATGGGTTTGCAGACTACACTTTGAGAACCACTGCTTTAGAAAGATGTTATAGACTAGGCTGAAAGTAAGAAAAACACAGAGAGAAGTGATTTAGAGTAAGAAGACCCACGTTGAAATTCTCAATCTGATACTAACTCCATGTCACCTTGAGAAAGTCACCTAATCTTCTGCCTCAGTTTCCTCATTTATAAAATAAAGATACTGTTTGAATTACTTACCAAATAGTGCTGTTGTGAAGGGGGTGGGGTGGGGAACAATTATAAAACTATGAGTTGTTTTCCTGGGAAAGGTTTCTTTAACTATATGCCACTGGATTGAAGCCAGGTTGATTTAACAATTCTGTTCCTATGGAAAAAAAACCTAGTAGTCCTAGCTCTTAGTTCGATTAAAAGTTGCCCCCAAAAAAGGCCAAAAAAGTCCCAATTCCTAGTAAAATTTGATCATATCATTAAGGCTTATTGAATTGAATTAACTGGATTTAGTTAAAGTCACATAAAGACAAGCTCAAACCTTTGTTACAAACAATTTATCCTTTCAAAAATTGGATTGTTAAATCCAATGGGCTTGGAGCTCAGTCATCGAAGAAGACAGTTTGTAGACCTGGGAACACTGCTGAAATTGTACAGACTTTTACAATGATTTTATAAGCACTATGACAATCTTGACATAATTTGTATGTTCTAGGGCCTTCTCTGGTTGGTATCCAGTAAGAGAAGATTCTTGATGTGTCCCTATTATTTATTTAGATCCTGTCCTAACTAGTAAACCTTAGTGTTTGTCACCTAAGGCAGCTAGGTGACACAGTAGATAGAGGACAGGGCCTTGTGTCAAGAAGAGCTGATTTCAAATTCATCCTCAGACACAAGCTGTGTAACCTTGGGCAAGTCACTTGTTTGCCTCAGTTTCCCCCAAAATGCAGATAATAACAGCACCTATCTTCCTGGATTGTTGCAAAGATCAAATGAGGAAATATTTGTAAGGCATTTTGCACAGTGCCCAATACACAGTAGGGACTATGCAAACGCTACCTATCATCATCATCATCATTATTATCTAGTCATCTTAATTAACTACCACAATACTGTTTTCTCATGAACAAGTGGTAACTGAAGCCATGGGAGTAGGTGAAACTGTTCAGGGAGAATATACAGAAATAGAAGGACAAGGACAAAAATCCTTGGAGCTGTCTATACTCAGGGGGCCAACAGAGATAAAGGAGCCAGCAAAGGAGACAAGAAAAATCATATAGCTAGAAAAAGAACTGTAAGAGGACAATATCATCGGAACCAAGAAAGAAAGAATAGCAGTGGTGTCAAATTCAAATAGAAACAGGGGCCACTCAAAGAACTGGAAATTGAGAGGATGCCCATCAACTGGGGAATGGCTGAACAAGCTGTGGTAAATGAATAATGGAATACCACTGTGTTGTAAGAAATCATGAGCAGACAGACTTCAGAAAAACCAGGAAAGACTTGTATGGTCTGATACGGAGTAAAGTGAGCAGAACCAGGAGAACATTGTACACAATAACAGCCATGTTGTGCGATGACTAATATTGACAGACTTAACACTTTTCAGCAATGCAAGGATCTGAGACATCTTCAAAGACCTCATGACGGAAAATGCTATCCACATCCAAAGAAAGAACTATGGAGTTTGAATGCAGATCGAAGCATACTATTTGCTATTTTTTTTTCTTCTGTTGTGTTTTGTTTCCTCTTTCTGGTGGTTCCTCCTATTGGTTCTAATTCTTACTTACAACATCACTAATGTGAAAATATGTTTAATAGGAATGTATACATCTAGCCTATATCAGATTGTGCACCATCTCGGGGAGGTAGCTGAGGAGGGAAGGGGAGAAAAATTTAAAACTCAAAAGCTTATGGAAGTGATTGTTGAGAAATCAAAATAAACTAATAAAGTTTAAAAAAAAAAGAAACAGGGGCCACTTAGCTTACATAGGGTCCTTGAAGCTGCATAACCTGCTGGACTTGGAAAACCATATATTAACATTATCTACCCTACAGTATTTGTATTTATTTTGTTAAATATTTTCCAGTTATATTTTAATTTGGTTTCTGTCACATTCAAGAGTGTGGGCCTGGGCTAAATGTTTGACACATCTGGTCTAAAGGACCACAATGCAGAAAGATCAAGGAGAACAAAATTTAAAACTTAGCAATAAGGAAGTCATTCTCACCGTGGAAGCCAGATTGCAAAAAGTGGAGAAGTGAATGGGTGAAAAGGGTTTGGAAGTCCCCTTTACCCAAGAAAAAAGGATTAGATTAGAGAAATGGGCTGCTATATAAAACTAGTTGCCTTCAAACTTTTTTAACTGCACACCTCTAAGTAAAAACTTTGAGCACACACCCCTATATAGGAATACTTTTAATAAATTAGATACATGTTCTGTTGTGCTAATTATGCATATTATAAAACTTATATAAAAATATAAATTTAATAAAAGTGAGCTAAGGATGAAATATGATCCTCAAGTCAATGGGGAACTATTGGAGTTTATCGTGTAGGGGAGTGATATGGTCAGACCTGTGCTTTAGGAAATTCATTTTGGAAGTTATGAGAGAAATGGATCAAAGAAAAGAGACTGGAGGCAATAAGAAAGCAATAGTCCAGATGAGAGGTGATGAGGACCTGAACTAGCTAGAGAGAAGGGGATAGATGTGAGAGATGTTGTGGGGGTAAAAATGACAAAATGTGTTAACTGACTATATATGTGAGGTAAGGGAGTGAGTTGAGGATGACACTGAGGTGAAGAACCTGGATGGCTGGAGGGACAATAGGGCTTTCCACTATAGAAGAGTGGGTTTGGGGGTAAAGATAATTTAATGAGATCTGTGATGTAAATCACTGTCCATCCTTGCCTGCTTATTTTATGACTGTCTTAACTAAGTGGGAGGGGAGGGCCTTACCAGACATGGCCTTGGAATGCCAGAGTCTACATACCAAGGGATGCCTGCTGCAAGCAACCTAAATGGCAGAGTGTAAGGAAGCTGGGGGTCTTGGGGGGGGGGAAT